GAGAATATGATAATTAAGTCCCTATAATTGCAACCCAGTTCTCATTAACGTATTACATCCATAATTGCGCAGAAAAGAATTATTCGTGATTAATAATTTCTGTGGTGAATGCGAGAGACGGGTTGAGGGAGGCGGCGACGCCATTGTGAGAGAGAAGGCATCCCTGGCGTGAAGAGTGGCGAGACACGTGGTAGTGACTGGGGAATTTATCGGCAAGAATTGCGTTGATACTCGGTCAACATTTAATAATTACTTATCCACGTGTTCTATAGTGCCCAGCCAGTTAATAACGCGTCAACAATTGAAGCTAAGACCTGTAATTACACGTACACAGCAGTGGACATCAGGGACTGCTGACGCGGTTTCGGCAGACCTAAGTATTTAATACGCTCACGATAAGTATATATTTCTCGTTTGATGCATCATCCTAGATTATATATTTGTGAGTAGTCTGTCGTCATATAGCGAGAATACCCAATATACAACGTTAGTAAAATTTCGACAATTTCCTCCGTTTTTATGAATATTGAAAATAAAACGTAGCCTATTCAAATGCTACTTAAATTTCTCTGATTTCAGCGTGTATACGAGGAGTCATCAAGTTATTTCTCATCATTCGTGATATTCACCTCGAGTTCTTTCTTTGTGGAGATCCTGTGACCACGAGGACGAATGACGAAATGATGTTACAGAAATCGTCTTAAAACTAAGACATTTTTTCGTACAAATTTATTTACCATGATTATTGATTCTTATATAATTCCTGTAGAATCTTTGCATTGAATAGATTAATACCAGAAATGATGATTGGTAATTAATGTGTTTTGCTCTGACTGTTGCTCAGTAATTCTTGATCTTTAATATTCGCAATTTGAGTTCTCATATTTTGAATCTATAGTAGTTTAGATTTATTATATCATTTACTCAACAATGAACTGGTGGCGAACTACACTGGTTCCTAGATATATATGAATTTCTAGAAATACCCCACCAATGTAGGTCTTTGAGGCTCTGACTTTAATTAATAATACAGTCCATTCATTATTTCAAGTGATTATTCTTTTAATGATTATCCATAGACACTGGTTCTCTAGTGTTATTCTAATGATCACTTCTATTAGTTTTCCCTCTTTTCTCAAAAGTGGGTGGTCCTTCGATTTATTAAATCCAATAAGTAAATAATTGAATATATGAGTCAAGTCCCAGATATCCCACAGTGGTTCCCTGATTCCCTTCTTTCTCCCAGCACTTCGTTTTCTGCGTCACTCACCAGGTGCCTGCGTCACTCACCAGGTGCCTGCGTCACTCACCAGGTGCCTGCGTCACTCACCAGGTGCCTGCGTCACTCACCAGGTGCCTGCGTCACTCACCAGGTGCCTGCGTCACTCACCAGGTGCCTGCGTCACCTACCAGGTGCATGTATCGGAAATTTCGACACCAAATTACTAACACCTGGCATACCCAGCTAAAATGGCTTTGTCAGGAACTTACTAATATTATTAATCTACTAACTTTATCACAGATAATAGATTTTGTGGCTTCTCCGAGAAAATGGGATGTTGCCACGTAAGCAAAGCCATTATTTATACACAATATTTCTCTTGTGAAAACATAAAACCTTCAGTCCAAAGGTTAAATTTGATAAAAATGTTACTCTTTAGAGTTGAATTTAATTAAATGTTAAACAATTGTGAACTTTACCTTTTAAGTTGATTATGACAAATTTGGAACCGGCGAGAGATTGGCGTCTCTCGAGCTTGGAGGGAGGGGGACGACGCCTGGCCATGCCATATATTTCACACACAACCAGGCCAGGTTGCAGAGGACACGCTTGAGTGAGTTCTCCGGACCTTCCTGCGAAGATACAAGTTGTGGGACTTTAGTGTCTCCTGTTATCTCCACAAACCTTCGCTAGTCATAAGGAAGTGTTCAAGTTCCGATTGACAGATAAGTTAGTAATAAATGGTGCTATAGGTCAATTGCATCATAGTTTATTGTGCACCCCCATACTCATCCTGTGAGCGGTAGCGCAAAAAGCATTAAAGAGGTCACAAAAGGTCTTTATAAGACCTCATCTTAGATTATTACATAAACAATTTCATCCATCCTTCACACCTTGTGAAGGATGGATGAAATTCGACCCACAATGTCAGCTAGTTACAGAGAAAGTGCTATTTCAAGAGCTATATATTTACAGTAAGTCATTATACATTAATGGTAGGTCTTATCGCTAATACATAATAGTTTGACCAATGGGGATATTACAGAGTCATAGGGGAGCTTCTGTTTATTATTGGTCTTCACAATACACTACTTGTTTCTTAATCTCATATGTCGTTTATCTACTGGATGCAAAATATGGATACAGTGCAAGGATTTCAGGTAATTTATCCATGGTAATAAGATAGGTTGCCATATCATACAGAGTGAGCTTAGATTTATATCTAAATGGCTTAATTTTACTACAATCCAAGATAGTAAAGTGTGTGTCCCTGTCTTTGTCCACACACTTTACACTTTACTTCATCTAGATCTCTATACAAGCCGAACTGCCAGAGATACTTGTAGCCAAGTTTTATATGAGCTGTGACAACATCTGTTAGTCTACTTACTTTGTTACTTGCCCCATACACATGTTTTACTTCACACGTTTCATTGTGATGAACAATGGACCTTCTAGTTTCAGTTTGCACTGTTCTACTTTCTCCAAATTCATCCAGGAGTTCTCGTCTAATGACACTTTTAGGGGACCTATTTGATAACATCAAGAGTTCGTTCAATAAGGTCTTTATTTACTGCAGCCAAGGGTGCAACTTTGTCATGTTCTTGCAGGCAAATGTGAGAAGGAATCCACAACATTTTTATGTTTACCCTTTTGCTAAGCATTCTTATATATCTACGTCTAGCTTCCAAGACAAGCACGTCATTACTTGACTGCAAACTGTTTATTGCTCGTAGTGAGGAAAGGGAGTCGGAAATAATTAAGCTGTTTGCTTCAGTGTTGTCAATAATTTCGATTGCTACCAGTATTCTATTTATATATACTTCAGATCCTTGTTGCTTCTGTTACGATATACCTTATTCGCAGGTGAAATCGAGAGGAAGGAGATAGCTACAACGAATCATCAATCTGCCCATATCTTGTCCTGACGACATATAGCTTCGACCCACAACGACGTGGCTCACATGATCAGACACGTGCACAGCTGGATGACCAAATACTACTCTATTCAACAGCTAAGCTGTTTAATTTTTTTTTAACCCAAGTAGTAACAAACTAACTCAGTAGTATATTCTGTTAGTTCATTTATGTAATTAAAAGGCTACGTGCATGAACTCCCCAAACTTGTGAGTCGGATAACACCTAGCAGGATATATAAATATAATACAGTCCACTTTCAAATTACAGTCCATTCTTAATTAATAATATCAAAGTAAACTAGTAAGTTAATAACTTAAAGTACGTAAATCAAATCAATTCCTGCTGGGAAAATTCCCCACAGCATGTGTCACTCACAAGGTGTGTGCATGTCTTAATCCTGATCATCTGACATCGTCAGCAAACATGGAAAGGAAAGTCTGCGAAAGTCTATACCCTCTGGGAGATGGTGACTTCATGCCAATCTGAGGTCTCGCCCCAAACAGTAACTCTCTCTCTATTCTTATTGCTTAGGTACTCCCTTATCCACTGGACCACCATACCAGTTTCTTCAACTTATACACTAGCCTCTTATGGGGTACTGTGTCAAAGGCTTTCCAACAGTCCAAGAAAATGCAGTATGCGCTCCTTTCTCTTTCTTGCTTAATCTCTGTCACCTGATCGTAGAATTCTATGAAACCTGTGAGGCATGATTTACCATCCCTGAACCCACCATGTTGGTGGTGTGTCGCGAAGTCTCTTGTCTCCAGGTGCTTTTTTTTCTCACGATCTTCTCCATCACCTTGAATGGCAATCAAGTTAAGCACACTGGCCAATAGTTCAATGCCACTTGCCCGTCACCCTTTTTGTATATTGGGACTTCATTATCCGTTTTCCATATTTCTACTAGGTCTTTCGTCTCCAGTGACTTACTGTACACCATGCAGAATGTGAAACAAAATGCTTCTTCACACTATTTGAGCCCATGGTGAAATTCAGTCCGAACCAACAGCATTTCTCAGGTCCAGATCCAACAGATACCTCGTAATCTCATCTCTAGTAATTTCTAACCCTTCCAAGGCCGCCTGGTTTTCTGCCACCTCTCCTAGTTCAGGGACTTCACCTCGTTCTATTTTAAAGACCTAGAATCCCTTGTTGCGTTTTTCACTCACCTCTTTGTCATTATCTGTGTATCTGTCCTCACCCATTCTAAGTTTCATCACCGGTTCTTTAACTGTTATTTCCCTCCTGATGTGACTGTGGAGCAGTTTTGATTCGGTCTTTGCTTTATTGTATAAATCATTTTCATACTGTCTCTGCTTCTCTTCTCGCACTGACATACTCATTCCTGGCTGTTTGGTATCTTTTTCTGCTTTCTGGTGTTGTGTTATTTCGGAAGTTCCTCCATGCCCTTTTTCAGTTCCTTTGCTTCCATACGTACCCAATTAAACCACGGATTGTTCTTTTTTTTTTAGGGGGGGGGGGGGGGAATAGATCTGTTTCCTTTATTTTTTGGGTGACATAATCCATCATGTATTGAATGGACTTTGTTCTGATTCCTGTGCCCCATGGTATTTCTCTTAGGAATTTTCTCAATACATAATTTCCCTTTCGGTACGCCAGCCCCTTGTTTTCTAGTTTTTTGGGGAGGGAGATTTCTCCTAGCTCTACCAGGTATTCAAATACTAGTACACTGTGATCACCATTTCCAAGCGAGCTTTCAACTTCACATCCCTTATGGTGCTACATAGCCTTCTCGGTTTGGTGCCTTCTTTTGATAATTACTTACTTAACATCCCTTATATCCGACTCATTCAGGATGAATATCAGATCAAGCATTGCTTGATCACCTCACCAAGATATGCACTTCAACAGGTGCCTGCCTTACTCACCAGGTGCCTGTGTTACAGATCTGGCTCGTAGGGATGTGGAGCTGGCCATCAAGGTGGGGCGTCTTGACCTGGCTGAGGTCATCCTTATCCACGGTGAGTGGGCCAAGCTGGCTTCTTCATCCTTCCTCTTGTACCATATATTCCTTATACTCATTCCTGTTGTATTCCATATACCCTGGAATATGGGTATATTCCATATACCCTTATCGTGTCCCCATTACTTAGCATATACCTTTCCTTATTCTCACCACCTGTCATCCTCTCCCTTCCCTATTCTATTCCGCATCTTATTTATCATCTCCCTTATCATACTTATTTTCGACCACATCTTCAATTCCCTTATCTTTCCTTTCTTCTCCCTTGTCTTCCTTAAACTTTGAACTATCTTCATCTTCCACCTTATCTTCTTCATCATCTCCAAAATCTTAATCATACCTATCCCTTAGTTGGCTTACCCTCTCCATCTTACCTTTTCCCTATTCCTATTTCTTCCCTCCTTTATATTTCCATTCATAATATTTTCCCTAATCATCATTATCCTCTCTCTCATCTGGCGACCGCCCGCCCGTCCCCGCCTGACTGCCCGCCCGTCCCCACCTGACTCCCCGCCCGTCCCCGCCTGACTGCCCGCCCGTCCCCGCCTGACTCCCCGCCCGTCCCCGCCTGACTGCCCGCCCGTCCCCACCTGACTGCCCGCCCGTCCCCGCCTGACTGCCCGCCCGTCCCCACCTGACTCCCCGCCCGTCCCCACCTGACTGCCCGCCCGTCCCCACCTGACTGCCCGCCCGTCCCCACCTGACTGCCCGCCCGTCCCCACCTGACTCCCCGCCCGTCCCCACCTGACTCCCCGCCCGTCCCCACCTGACTGCCCACCCGTCCCCACCTGACTGCCCGCCCGTCCCCACCTGACTCCCCGCCCGTCCCCACCTGACTGCCCGCCCGTCCCCACCTGACTGCCCGCCCGTCCCCACCTGACTCCCCGCCCGTCCCCACCTGACTGCCCGCCCGTCCCCACCTGACTGCCCGCCCGTCCCCACCTGACTGCCCGCCCGTCCCCACCTGACTCCCCGCCCGTCCCCACCTGACCGCCCGCCCGTCCCCACCTGACTGCCCGCCCGTCCCCACCTGACTCCCCGCCCGTCCCCACCTGACTGCCCGCCCGTCCCCGCCTGACTGCCCGCCCGTCCCCACCTGACTGCCCGCCCGTCCCCACCTGACTGCCCGCCCGTCCCCACCTGACCGCCCGCCCGTCCCCACCTGACCGCCCGCCCGTCCCCACCTGACTGCCCGCCCGTCCCCACCTGACTGCCCGCCCGTCCCCACCTGACTGCCCGCCCGTCCCCACCTGACTGCCCGCCCGTCCCCGCCTGACTGCCCGCCCGTCCCCACCTGACTGCCCGCCCGTCCCCACCTGACTGCCCGCCCGTCCCCACCTGACTCCCCGCCCGTCCCCACCTGACTGCCCGCCCGTCCCCGCCTGACTGCCCGCCCGTCCCCCGTGCCCGCCCGCCTGACTGCCCGCCCGTCCCCACCTGACTGCCCGCCCGTCCCCACCTGACTGCCCGCCCGTCCCCACCTGACTGCCCGCCCGTCCCCGCCTGACTCCCCGCCCGTCCCCACCTGACTCCCCGCCCGTCCCCGCCTGACTCCCCGCCCGTCCCCACCTGACTGCCCGCCCGTCCCCACCTGACTGCCCGCCCGCCCGCCCGTCCCCACCTGACTGCCCGCCCGTCCCCACCTGACTGCCCGCCCGTCCCCACCTGACTGCCCGCCCGTCCCCACCTGACTGCCCGCCCGTCCCCACCTGACTGCCCGCCCGTCCCCACCTGACTGCCCGCCCGTCCCCACCTGACTGCCCGCCCGTCCCCACCTGACTGCCCGCCCGTCCCCACCTGACTGCCCGCCCGTCCCCACCTGACTCCCCGCCCGTCCCCACCTGACTCCCCGCCCGTCCCCACCTGACTCCCCGCCCGTCCCCGCCTGACTCCCCGCCCGTCCCCACCTGACTGACTCCCCCGCCCGTCCCCACCTGACTCCCCGCCCGTCCCCACCTGACTCCCCGCCCGTCCCCACCTGACTGCCCGCCCGTCCCCACCTGACTGCCCGCCCGTCCCCACCTGACTGCCCGCCCGTCCCCACCTGACTCCCCGCCCGTCCCCACCTGACTCCCCGCCCGTCCCCACCTGACTGCCCGCCCGTCCCCACCTGACTCCCCGCCCGTCCCCACCTGACTGCCCGCCCGTCCCCACCTGACTGCCCGCCCGTCCCCACCTGACTCCCCGCCCGTCCCCACCTGACTCCCCGCCCGTCCCCACCTGACCCCGCCCGTCCCCACCTGACTCCCCGCCCGTCCCCCCTGACTGCCCGCCCGTCCCCACCTGACTGCCCGCCCGTCCCCACCTGACTGCCCGCCCGTCCCCACCTGACTCCCCCCGCCCGTCCCCACCTGACTGCCCGCCCGTCCCCACCTGACTGCCCGCCCGTCCCCACCTGACTGCCCGCCCGTCCCCACCTGACTGCCCGCCCGTCCCCACCTGACTGCCCGCCCGTCCCCACCTGACTGCCCGCCCGTCCCCACCTGACTGCCCGCCCGTCCCCACCTGACTGCCCGCCCGTCCCCACCTGACTGCCCGCCCGTCCCCACCTGACTGCCCGCCCGTCCCCACCTGACTGCCCGCCCGTCCCCACCTGACTGCCCGCCCGTCCCCACCTGACTGCCCGCCCGTCCCCACCTGACTGCCCGCCCGTCCCCACCTGACTGCCCGCCCGTCCCCCCTGACTGCCCGCCCGTCCCCACCTGACTCCCCGCCCGTCCCCACCTGACTGTCCCCACCTGCCCGCCCGTCCCCGCCTGACTCCCCGCCCGTCCCCACCTGACTGCCCGCCCGTCCCCACCTGACTCCCCGCCCGTCCCCGCCTGACTCCCCGCCCGTCCCCACCTGACTGCCCGCCCGTCCCCACCTGACTGCCCGCCCGTCCCCACCTGACTGCCCGCCCGTCCCCACCTGACTGCCCGCCCGTCCCCACCCTGACCTGACTGCCCGCCCGTCCCCACCTGACTGCCCGCCCGTCCCCACCTGACTCCCCGCCCGTCCCCACCTGACTGCCCGCCCGTCCCCACCTGACTCCCCGCCCGTCCCCACCTGACTGCCCGCCCGTCCCCACCTGACTGCCCGCCCGTCCCCACCCTGACTGCCCGCCCGTCCCCACCTGACTGCCCGCCCGTCCCCACCTGACTGCCCGCCCGTCCCCACCTGACTGCCCGCCCGTCCCCACCTGACTGCCCGCCCGTCCCCACCTGACTGCCCGCCCGTCCCCACCTGACTGCCCGCCCGTCCCCACCTGACTGCCCGCCCGTCCCCACCTGACTGCCCGCCCGTCCCCACCTGACTGCCCGCCCGTCCCCACCTGACTGCCCGCCCGTCCCCACCTGACTGCCCGCCCGTCCCCACCTGACTGCCCGCCCGTCCCCACCTGACTGCCCGCCCGTCCCCACCTGACTGCCCGCCCGTCCCCACCTGACTGCCCGCCCGTCCCCACCTGACTGCCCGCCCGTCCCCACCTGACTGCCCGCCCGTCCCCACCTGACTGCCCGCCCGTCCCCACCTGACTGCCCGCCCGTCCCCACCTGACACCTGACTGCCCGCCCGTCCCCACCTGACTGCCCGCCCGTCCCCACCTGACTGCCCGCCCGTCCCCACCTGACTGCCCGCCCGTCCCCACCTGACTGCCCGCCCGTCCCCACCTGACTGCCCGCCCGTCCCCACCTGACTGCCCGCCCGTCCCCACCTGACTGCCCGCCCGTCCCCACCTGACTGCCCGCCCGTCCCCACCCTGCCCGCCCGTCCCCACCTGACTGCCCGCCCGTCCCCACCTGACTGCCCGCCCGTCCCCACCTGACTGCCCGCCCGTCCCCACCTGACTGCCCGCCCGTCCCCACCTGACTGCCCGCCCGTCCCCACCTGACTGCCCGCCCGTCCCCACCTGACTCCCCGCCCGTCCCCACCTGACTGCCCGCCCGTCCCCACCTGACTGCCCGCCCGTCCCCACCTGACTGCCCGCCCGTCCCCACCTGACTGCCCGCCCGTCCCCACCTGACTCCCCGCCCGTCCCCACCTGACTGACTGCCCGCCCGTCCCCACCTGACTGCCCGCCCGTCCCCACCTGACTGCCCGCCCGTCCCCACCTGACTGCCCGCCCGTCCCCGCCTGACTGCCCGCCCGTCCCCACCTGACTGCCCGCCCGTCCCCACCTGACTGCCCGCCCGTCCCCACCTGACTGCCCGCCCGTCCCCACCTGACTCCCCGCCCGTCCCCACCTGACTGCCCGCCCGTCCCCACCTGACTGCCCGCCCGTCCCCACCTGACTGCCCGCCCGTCCCCACCTGACTGCCCGCCCGTCCCCACCTGACTGCCCGCCCGTCCCCACCTGACTGCCCGCCCGTCCCCACCTGACTCCCCGCCCGTCCCCACCTGACTGCCCGCCCGTCCCCACCTGACTGCCCGCCCGTCCCCACCTGACTGCCCGCCCGTCCCCACCTGACTGCCCGCCCGTCCCCACCTGACTGCCCGCCCGTCCCCACCTCCCCACCTGACTCCCCGCCCGTCCCCACCTGACTCCCCGCCCGTCCCCACCTGACTCCCCGCCCGTCCCCACCTGACTGCCCGCCCGTCCCCACCTGACTGCCCGCCCGTCCCCACCTGACTGCCCGCCCGTCCCCACCTGACTGACCCCGCCCGTCCCCACCTGACTGCCCGCCCGTCCCCACCTGACTGCCCGCCCGTCCCCACCTGACTGCCCGCCCGTCCCCACCTGACTGCCCGCCCGTCCCCACCTGACTGCCCGCCCGTCCCCACCTGACTGCCCGCCCGTCCCCACCTGACTGCCCGCCCGTCCCCACCTGACTCCCCCCCGCCCGTCCCCACCTGACTCCCCACCTGACTGCCCGCCCGTCCCCACCTGACTGCCCGCCCGTCCCCACCTGACTGCCCGCCCGTCCCCACCTGACTGCCCGCCCGTCCCCACCTGACTGCCCGCCCGTCCCCACCTGACTGCCCGCCCGTCCCCACCTGACTGCCCGCCCGTCCCCACCT